ATATCACCCCTATCTGCTACCCTCTGCCAGCCTGATTGCCCTTCTAACTGCTCTCCTACTGGCCTGATTGTCCCTAACTGCATCTGCCTCGCCCCATACCCGGGACCCGGGATTCCCTCCTCTGGCCAGTCACAGGCACCTGGGACCTGGGCTTCCCTCCCTCTGGCAAACAGCAGGAACCCAGGACCCGGGCCAGCTTTGCCCAGGCTGGCTGCAGCTACAGGGGACTGTGGGCACGTGACTTCACCCGGGCCGCAGCTGCAGGTGCCTGGGATCGTGGGACAGGCGGTTGTCCCTCTCCCAGGCCGCAGGCACAGGTGTAGCCGCTGGCACCCTGGACCATAGGGTATATTTATATATGATAATATAATATGTAATATCTATATAATATGTAATTATGTACTGTGTTCATATATTCTTTAATCCTTGTTCCACTCTTTAAGTGTGGAAAAAAAATATATATAGTTTTTGCAGATAAACTGTCAGCAGTATGCATTCTCCAAACCCTAGAGTAAATGGGCCATGTGTTAAATTATTTGGAAAATAACACCAACTTATATAATATGCAATGTTATAAAACCTGAGATTGCCTGGCTATTTAAAACTGTACATTTTAGAGTACAAGAGAGTCCCTAATCTCAGGTTTTTTAAAAAAATATATATTTTATTGCTTTTTTTTACAGAGAGGAAGGGAGAGAGATAGTTAGAAACATTGATGAGAGAGAAACATCGATCAGCTGCCCCCTGCACACCCCACTGGGGATGTGCCCACAACCAATGCACATGCCCTTGACTGGAATTGAACCCGGCACCCTTCAGTCTGAAGGCCGATGCTCTATCCACTGAGCCAAACCAGCCAGGGCCCTAATCTCAGGTTTTACCTGATGATTGACACTCTCCTGTAATATTGCCACAATAAAAACCACATTTGCACAACAATTTCAGCAAGGGAATGAATTCTATATTTTGACTCAATATTAGTTAGGGTAAAACTTGTCTAACTAATAAATTTATTTTTATTCTTTGGAAATGTAGGCTCGCATTTTCATTTAGAGCTTGTCTGTTGATGGTAAATACGAGGCAAAAAATGCCAGCATCAATGATTATTTGGTTTCACAGATACTTCCTTTGAAATAAACTTTTTATTCTTAAATCCATGGAAATAAAATGAAGCTAGTCATTCATGGTAGTTTCCACATTTGATTTTTATTATATGTCATCTTTATTGTGTTTTACAGTAGGGCCATTGAAGGAAATAAAACATCAGAATGTTCAAAATGTTAATACATCCTACTTGACAAGCTGATCAATTTCCTAGATTTTCTAATGATGGAAAGTTACATCAGGAACTTTCGTTCCAAGAAACAGGAAGTTACAGAATATATATAAAGGGAAGCTCAGAGATTTGCTATCTAAGTTCATTACCAGGTGTTCCTCATCATTCTCGAAGGTAAGAGTCTTATAACCGGTTGTTTTGCTGAAACTTAAGTTTCCACTTGAATCGAAATATACCAAAGTTAATCTGAATGCAATATTTCTTAGAGATCGTAGACAAACTGAACCCGCACATGAATGAGGGAAGGTATTTTGCTTGAAAATTATATAATCGCTGGTGAAGATGACATGCAAAGGAAAGCCGAAGTTGAAACCCGACCACTTCCAGGAGAACTTCCCCTTCTTGACAAGCATTTTCCCACATCTCATGCTGTATTCTTCAAGTTCTATTTTATTGGTGTATCGGGGCCCAATTTCCTGGCTTTGTCGTACTCTCAGCAAGGTAAACCACTGTTGCTTATAAGCTTGCGATAACCAGTCTGAAGGTATTAGAGTATCGTGCTCAATAACTCTTGTGGAGGCCAGGTCACAGATGATATGCTGAAGCCTCAAATTTTTAAACACCGATTGAAATGGTATGCCTCGTCTGGTTTCAAGGAAGGCCATGCTGGCAATACGTCCTCTGTGCCTGGAAAACCATTTGTTTGCATGGCCTAAAAGGTTTTTTACGGATCCTTTCCAAGCCGGGTTAAGACGAAGGAACATCCACTCTTTAAGTGTGGTGTACACATCTATTTCCTTTTGTATTACTAGTAAGTTAGCTGAAGAAATGAGCAGACACATGAGCTCTATACTGAGTGCTTTGTAAAGTTCAACATTTGGATGCGTCATCAGATTGTGGAGAAGCCAGTTAAAGCATTTTGTCTTCAGAGACTCTAGCTCATAGGCTTCTGCTGTTGCATAGTAGCCACAGACAGTTTTCACGTTAACTGCCTCCTTCAAGGTCTCCTCACACTCTTCAATTAAGTCCTCTACTTGAAGCAGGCATGCCGTTGCCAAAATTCTTGGAATTTGAAGGGACTCCGTTAAGTCATATTCACCCCTGTACAAGGAACCTAGCACGAAGTTCAGGGACTCGACGTCAATATTGTGGTCCTGAATCTCTAGGTCGATAATATCTTTGTCAGAGTCATCGCAAGAATTTTTAAACAGAGTAGCAAAGTAGCCTGACTGACATAAATACATTCTGTGTAGACACCACACTCTCCCCAGAGCGCGGATTTTAATGTCACTGGTTTCCCCATTTAGAAATAAAGTATGGTAAGCATAATCAGATGTGACCTTTACTTTTTTACTTCGGCTTGTAGTGGCTTCTTGCTGGAGATTGTCTTCTGGGTCTAGAGGCTTGGGGCTGTTCTCTGGGTCGGGAGAGGGTCCACTCCGCTTCCGTTTCCGGCCTGAGGATACATCTCCGGGGCCTACCTGGGCTTCTGGCTGATGCGGATCAGTTGTGCCTAATGTACTGCCCCTCAGGAGGCGACTGCTCAAGGACCCCATAGAGGAAGACTATCAGATTCCCTAGGGGAACTGTTTCAGAGCACCTTGCCA